CATTCTTAGCCATGTCTTCATTGTGGTATGATCCGTTTATCAACAAAGGCCTAATTCCTGACAGACTATTAGCCATGGCCATACGCATCTTGCTGCGCGATAGGTTGGCCAGTCTCGAATGCGGAAACATTCAGAAAAACCAAGAAGAAAAAATGGCTTTTGCGGAGACGTTGAGAGAAAGTCCGATAGCGATTGAGACTGATAAAGCCAACCAACAACACTATGAAGTTACTACTGAATTTATGCAATTGTCTCTTGGAAGTAGGATGAAGTATTCCTGTTGCCTATTTCCAACAGGTAAGAACGAAAACCCATCTATAAAACAATTAGAGATACCCTAGTTTCGTAAATTCGCATCGCATCCATCTTTGCTATCAGTGTTTGCAAGCTTCGATTAAATTAAAGATTCGCGAATGAAGATGGAGTTGTACATCCTCCTTTATTCATATCTGTCTTGCTGCCCATGTTTTGTGCAGAAAAAATCAGCTAGAGCTCACAGCTGGTCAAAGTAGGATCGCGCTTCGTTAAAGCGTCGTTTGCGCGCATAATGATAACTTACAATCCGAACATGCGTTAAGAACGTCTAACGTGCACATTTGCCAGTTATCATATGGTTGACAATAAATTATGATGCTTTCAACTATGGCGAATTACACGTCTTAGTATAAATTAGTATTTCAACGTTATCCCAATATTCGTTCTGTGCGGCATTGCTATTTGTATGATAATTGAGTCAATAATTACACATGAATTGTAATATCACATAGAATGCAACGTAGACAAAAGGCTGGGCAAAAAGTTTTTAAAGAAAACAAACTTACCAGGAAAAGTTTCACTACAACAGAATATCTATTTAATGTCAATTTGGCTAATTCCAATTAACAGGCAAAGAGTCTCTTGACGAGGCGGAAGAATTGATGCTTCAGACGTATTGTGAGAGAGCTCAATTGGAAGATGGAATGAGCATACTTGATTTAGGATGTGGGTGGGGGAGTCTATGTCTGTATTTATGTGAGGTACACTCATTGTTTTCTTTCTTGCTAATAATACTTACATAGAGATCACTGTTCATAATAGACACTTAGAGTATTTTTTTTTCTAACCGGTCAACCCTTCTTTTATTGATAGAAATACCCAAGTGCAAAAGTCACTGCATTGTCAAATTCAGCATCACAAAAAATTTACATTGAATCTGTTGCAAAGAAAAAAGGATTTAACAACCTGACTGTAATAACTGCAAATATAGTAGACTTTTCTTTTGATGGCAACAAAGAGTAAGTCATTTTGTTTATTACAACTAAAATACGCATATATCTAAATATTTTTCCCCTGCTTTATAGATTTGACAGAATACTGTCAATTGAAATGTTTGAACATATGAAAAATTATGAATTTCTCATTGAGAAAATCTCAAAATGGCTAAAACCAAATGGGTTGTTGTTTGTTCACATCTTCTGTCACAAAGAAAAGGCATATGGATTTGTGCCAGGTGATGGTTGGATGGGAACATATTTCTTTACAGGTATAGTAATTACAATTTGGCACATTATGAACTTGAATAGCTATTAAAGCCAACTATTTCTAGGTGGAACAATGCCATCAAAGGATTTGCTTCTCTATTTTCAAAAAGATCTCTACCTGAAAAAACATTGGTTGGTCAATGGGCAACACTATGGGCAAACAGCGAAAGAATGGCTCAAAATATTGAGCAAGAATAAAAAGGCTTCACTTCCTATTCTGGCCGAAACATATGGTATGCATTGAATCATTTTCAGAACTTGTTTCATATGTGTATGCCTCTTACTATAACCAATTGATACATTTTTCTTCCATTCCAGGTGCTGAAAACGCAACTGCATGGTTTAACAGGTGGAGAACATTTTATTTAGCTGTTGCTACAATGTTCAGTTATAATCAGGGCAATGAATGGTTAGTTAGCCATTATCTTTTTGAAAGGAAAAAATAGTAATAGCATAACCAATATCAAAAATAGAGCACTAAGATATAAGATTTACAAATAGCTTTCAAAAATTCTGGTTGTCATGTCCAATCATATTTATTCATTGCGAGTCGTGCATGTATGCGTATAGTATTATAAATAGTAATAGCGTGATTTAACATATTTTCCAAATTCTTACCGAATTGTCAAGTTGAAAGTCAACGGCAAGTGTACTGTACCGCATGATTAATGCATTAATATTAATAATATTTCAACCAGCTGATATGTCATGTTGCATTTGGGAACAAAAGCTTTATTTACCCTATTGACAGACTATGCCCCCTCCCAAACTCGTTTCTTTGGGCGTTTGGTCCAAAAAGCCTATACTAATACTGAATGATTTACAATATGCGCCTGTTGTGTAACGATGTGATACATTTCAGAATAGCATTACAACATCCCCTTCCCCACACTCTATTTTCATCATGTCTGCCGAAGAAAAACTCACTCGCAACCCTCCTGCTGACTGCACGGATGATGTGTGTCCGATTAATTTTACATCACAACAATCGACAGAAGACACCGACAAGAAAAACTCGGGAGCGATTGCAAGTGACGACCCCATACTGTCAAAGATAAGTCTATACGATTGCAACGGAAACACGGTTCCCACAAGTGAAGTAGAAAACAAAATTATTGGATTCTACGTGGGAGCTAGTTGGTGTCCGCCCTGTCGGTTGTTTGCTCCTGTGAGTATTAATCCCTGACCTGATGATATACACACACAGTGTTCTTCTCTTGCGGCAAACTTGAAACTAATTTTGATTTTATTTGTAGCGCCTTTGTGCGTTTCTCGAAGACAATAGATCATCTTTTGCAGTTATTCATGTTTCGCTTGATCATTCTGAATCTGCCTTTGAAGAATACACGTATGCTAAGCCATGGTATAACATTCAGTACGACTCACCGATCCGAGAATCGCTTGTTCGCGAGTGGAAGGTCTCAACGATACCTGCTCTACTGATTTACAACCCCATGACTCACCAGATGGTCACTTCATGGGGACGAACTGCAGTGATGAAAAATCCTGAAGGGTGTTTAGAAGAATGGAAACAGAATAGACATGGTGTTGGTTGGATACAACTGATCAGAGGAA